GAGGGAGGTTACCAGTAATTTTGTACTCCACGCTTGAGCCTCTACAGGGTGGTCGTCCCTGCGTCACGCGTCCAAGATCAAGGTAAGCCAGCGTTCCGCCCTAGATCGATACCGTTGGGTGATTTACTGGTATGTGGAAATCGTCTTGAGTATTGTTGAAATGTTTGAGCGAGCAGGTCTCGAAATGTTTTTTGACCATTTCAGGCTCTGACGAAGGCGAAGACGCCGAAACGTAGGCCTTCAATAAAGTTGCTCAATCTTGGAAAGGCTAGAAGAAATACAAGAACTATATACATCATGCCAAGATTGCAAGAAAGTCGAACATGGACTATTCTAATTCTCACCTTTTTCCCGTTCTATATATGCTATGAACATCCATAGCCCGAGAAAGGAGACAGCGGTTTGGAAGAGCGAGAACAGACGGCCAAAACGGCCGAAAGGATCAGAAAGCTGTTGCATGAACCAAGAATCGGATCGTCATGTCGGTATACGGACAATGCAGCAGGGCCTTTATTGCAGCAGCGCCCTCATCTGAAGGCGTTTTCACCACCTTCCTTTCAGAAAGGCTCTGTTATGCTCTATGTTTCCCCAACAGATGACTCGTCCAACCGGGCGAGCCGCGTTTTCAAAATAAATGCCCTCTTCTTCTGCTCGGATTATAAGTTTCAACTTAATGGGAGCACCAAGTGGTAATCAATGAAGCTTTTTGTGCAGATCACTCTGTGAAGGCTTGTAGTTCTTTGTAGCCTGAAGAGCTACTTTGTAGCATTTCGCAGCATCACCGAGTGTGTAGGTCTCACCAAAATGAGACCTGTTATTTGCGAAAAACTCGCGAAAAAAAGTAGCGAATGCATGATGCCCCTTCCAAATCGAACATAGCCGTAATTTCTCAAGGATCTGGTCACTGTAAATCAATCGAACGCCATTTAGGCTTTGTGGCTCTATAGCTGCGACAACCTAACTGCACGGACATCCACAGCCATTCCAGCGACGTGCCCCGGGTCGAGCGCATCGGCTGAGAAGACTCGAGAAGGGATCAGGGAGGATGAACATTCTCGTGCCAAGATCCATTCGACTGTCACTTCCGGCACTTGCTATGAACTTAACAGGCGAGGACAGCCGCTACTCGCCACAGGCTTCTCGATGCACCTTCCACCGACTTGCTTGTTCTTCCGACCATTCAGAAGGGATTCACGAGGAAAGGAGCTTCCAGAAAGCGGACGACGTCAGATTATAATCAACTGATCGGAAGTCTTGGCAGAAGCCATGCAGCTTTCAAGGATTCGTAAGAAGAGGGATCAAGGCCTTTCCAGGAAGATGGAAAATGGTAATCGACAACTAGCGACTCTCACTGGCACATATTCTACTTCGTTTCAAGTGTTTTTCCTCCCAACACGGCTCTAGGTTACAATTTCCCGCCTTGAGGAGATCGGAAGTTAATTGTCCGCCTTGGACAAGGCGAAGGTTTGATTGGCAACAATCGCGTAGCGACTATACTGATCTCGCAGAGCACAGCGCGTGCCGCAATGATGGTCATCCTTAGCCTGCCTACAATACGTGGCGATTCCGCCGGTGGCTTGCGCTCCAAGCAACGTCCCCGTCGCATGCCCTATCGTTTGCAGGGATCATGATTGCACACATTCTAGGGCTAGCCCCTGACAACTGACCCGGAAATTTGTGAGATGGAACAACAAACAAGGTATCCTTTTATTCTTAGTCTGATATTTCAACATTTTAAACCAGTGATGTTCATTAGAGGGACGCCACATTCACGTTGCGGTGAAATACACAAACTGGTGGAGTATTTCCTAGCTAGTTGACTCGACATGCCACATCACTGTAGCGACAAACCGAATAGGTCCCGGTACGAATGGCGCGTCAAGCCATCTTTGTCACGCCGAAGCAACGTGAATATTGCGTGCCATACACCACTAGGGTAATTCTGGGAACTGTAAAATTTTCTGTAACAGCTGGCAACAACTAACAGAGATTAACAACAAACAAATACAACAACAATTTCTTAACAGATCACAAATCTATCCTTTCCATTTCGCTGATTTACTCTTAAGTTTTGACACGAGATCTTTAGCACTGGCACTGTCTGCTGTTTCAGATTGCTCCACGGCTTTTCGTTTGAAAGGACACTTGCTTCTCTATTAACTTCGAACCCTAAAGAAGTTTTTTCGCAGTCCAATTTTTCATAGCGAATCCGTAAACAATAATATACATGATACCAAGTATGGGTGCTATTTAGTTTCGAGAGGTAGCATTTTCCACGTTCGCTAGTTTCTTTTGCTAGCTCCTGTTACCTTACATGTCCGAACTTGATGAGATCTGTAGATTCTTGTCAAAAAGGTAAACAAAGCTTCTGCTACTGCATTTGGTTTCACAGGAATACACAGGTCTCCATCAGCAGTGACTGATGCGAACCAGCAAAATGCCCCTTCCACGCCGAACCCCAAGTAAGCTTCAAAAGCATACCTTGTAGTTCTTAGAACTTTGCTCGATGGCATAGGCACTGTCCGTGAATAGCGCCTTGAAACGCTCATCACCAGCCACGGCTTCTGCCAGAGCTCCGTCCTTGTCCTCCTTTTGCTTTGCCGCCCGCAAAGCGACGCGACTCTCCTGTAAATTGAAAAAGGGTCTCAAAGGTTGCACTAAGAAGATAAAGAGTAAAACTCTTCAAAGAACTGTGAAGAGTTGAGTAAGCTTTCCAGCTGTTTGCATTTCATGTACCAGCTAATAGTGTCAAGCCATGACTCGGGGAGGGGGGAGGTGGGTACTTAGATGCACAGCGCAGGTTTTTATACTCTCCCACGGGTCTGATACAAATTCACCGGCTCCCAGAGAGAAAAAAGACCGACCTAAGGCAGTGGGCACGATTGCTGAGGGCTGTTGTTGCCAGCGTCACTGGTGGAAGAACTGCGAGAGGGCGTTTGGCCACATCCCACTCAGCCCTTCCACCAGTGACGTTAGCGACAACCGCCCGCCGGCAATCTACCCACTGCCTTCAACCTTAAAGCTCCTTCCCACGTCTTTATTTCGACAACGCTACCTAACTGATGACTCTCGGGGTTGAAGGGTTGAAGCAAAAGCCCCAATGTTTAGATTTTTCCGTAATTTTCGTTGGTTAACTGCTAGGACCCAACCAGGAATTTCACCTGGACCATGCTCGTGATAGGCTACGCCACTTGCCATTAGACCAGCCCCACACCATAGCTAATTTACAATATGAAGTGCAAGATCTGCACACTCACCTTCTGCTTGGCTTTAGTTTGATTTTCAGCCTCTTGTGCCGCTTCCCGTTGTTTCTCTCGCATTTCACGCA